GGAGTGAAAGCCAGCTGAGAGAATCCTGCAGAGACATTCCTTGTCAGATTTTTATTATTATTATTATTATTATTATTATTACTATTATTATATGTAAGTACACTGTACACTGTAGCTGTCTTCAGACACCCATAAGAGGGCATCAGATCTCATTACAGATGGTTGTGAGCCACCATGTGATTCTTGGGATTTGAACTCATGACCTCCAGAAGAGCTGTCAGTGCTCTTAACTGCTGAGCCATCTTATCAGCCTTCCTGGTCAGATTTTTACCCTATCTTTTCTGTGTCCTCTGCTTCCATGGAATGCCAGCATTGGGGCAGGTCTCTGATCTCAGACTGGCCTTTGCCTCACTATGTAGCCCAGGCTGGTCTCAAACTAAAGATTACCCTGGATTCCTGGCTATTCTCCATCTACCGCCAGGGCGGAAGCCCTGCCTTTAGGTTCATTCCCCAATCTAAATATCTCAGAGGACCCAGAGATAAAGGCTTGCTCAGGTCAGACCAGAGAGTTCGTTTGCCGGGTTTATCAGGTTGGAAGATGACTTGGGAGGGCAAATTCTTTGCTAACTTAAGGTTTCCAACTCTAGTGGAATCCCACCCATGCTCTGGGGCTCATTGATGACACTGGGTTTGAACCAACACAGCATGCTAGCACCTTATAGTAGAATTCTATACACTGTGTCACTCTGACTCATGCAGCTGAGGCAGCATGGTTTCTCAGCACTGGATTAGAAGACTCAGCAGAAATTGCTGGCACTGGTGTCTGTCTGTCACATCAGTAGCCATGGCCAGCTGGCACAGGTGTCTGTCTGTCCACCAGTAGCCATGGCCAGTGTGGTTTGTGAGAATGCATGCTGAGGTGATAAAGGGTTTTTCCCACACTGGTGTCTGGTTGTGGAGCCACAGTGAGCCCCTCCTGGGACCCCATGTGGTGAGACTTAACCTTTGAGTAAAACAGTCTTAACTTTTACTCAGTAACTCACTCATTCAGCACACCAGGTACCTGCAGAGCTGTCAAGTGTAAGGGCCCAGGGCCCACAGCCACAAAAGATATGTGCTAAAATTGAAAATCCATCAATTAAAACATGTTTTAAATGGAAAATCCTTACTTGACTAAGAAAAGAATCCAAGCAAATATAGTAAAAACCAAATCTCCTTTATCTGGTCCTTTGATCCCCAGAATGACCCTCCAGCACTGTTGTTCTCAGGGATTCAAATTCACACACACACACATCACACACCACATATACACACACACACACATACCACACACACCACACACACACACCACACATACACACACACCACACACACCACACACACCACACACACCACACACCACACACACACACACACATGACCTTTTCCAACCTTCTCACAAATGGAAGCGTTCTATGTCCATGGGACCTCACATGGTCCTCATGGTTTTGTCTAAAAGCCAGAGACTAGTGTTCTGTCATTCAGAGTCACTGTAGTTAGGTCTGTCAGGACTGATCAGAGCTCAATAAAGGGCATCATCATACCCTCCTCCACATTTTTTTTTTTTTTTTGGTTTTTCGAGACAGGGTTTCTCTGTGCAGCCCTGGCTGTCCTGGAACTCACTCTGTAGACCAGGCTGGCCTCGAACTCAGAAATCCGCCTGCCTCTGCCTCCCAAGTGCTGGGATTAAAGGCGTCTGCCACCACCGCCCGGCACCCTCCTCCACTTTTAAAATAAGCAGAGAAAGGTACATTTCTTACGTCAGTGGAAAAAAAATATCATTTTTACCATGCCAAATTTCCACAATGCTCGGAGTCCAGTAAAACGAGAGTTCCCCAGGCTGGCTAACTGTCAAAAGGTCTCTGCAGGGGCCTGCTGCAACACACTGGAACAAGCTCTCTCCTTAGAATAGCTTATGGTCAATCAGGAAACTGAACTCCAGACTTGTAGAGGGACCCAGCAAGCCCAAAGGCTCCTAGCTCATCTCTTGCTAGGGGGATCCATCCTCTGAGTCCACAGAAGCTGCTGGACTGGAAGACAGATCCCAGGGCAAAGAGGTTTTTTTTGTTGTTTTTTTTTTGTTTTGTTTTGTTTTGTTTGTTTGTTTTTTTTTGTTTTGTTTTTTCTTTGAGGCCACTTTTCACACTGGGAGGAGGAGGAAGAGAGCGGCTGTCCTGGGGTCCCTCACTTATGACCTCCACGGGTCATATCTCTGCATGACATGTCTTCCCATACCCGGGATGAGAATCCTCTCTGCATAACAAACCTCTTAGGCTAAGCAACAACTCCTGCTTGCTCATCTGTCAACTATAGATATATGAAATATCACATTTTAGGGGATATTTATTTATTTACTTATTTATTTGTGAAGCAAAGTCTCAAATATCCCAAATTGAACTGAAACGTGCTAAAGCTTGCTGTGCAGCCAAAGTTGAGGTGGCCTTGAACTCTGATTCTCCTGCCTCCATCTCCTGAGTGCTGGGATTACACATGTATACTAACATGCCTAGTTTATGTGACGCTGAGGTCCAACCCCTAGGCTTTGTGCTCCCTAAGCAAATGGTCACACCACGGCTACATCCTCAGCCCTGAAGTGACATCTGTTGGGTTCAGAGCGTGCTGTGAGCCAGCAGTCTGGTACTGACCAGCTTGAATGTTGGCTGAGTAAGATCACAACAAAGGCCCTCCTCAGAGAAAAAGGCCCTGAGGCCTGAAGCAAAGACTACCTATGCAATCCCTGCACCCTGAACTCCATCACAGCCTGAGGTGATCCAGAACAGACAGCCTCAGCCCAGTCCACAAGGGGAGAGGCTGGCTGGCTGGCATGCCAATTTACAGACAAGCAATGCAGGAAGACGCCATGGCTGGGTGGGCGGGCTGCGGTGAGACCACTGTGAGCAGGATGCACTGGGTGTGGAAACTCCCTCTGTTAAAAACCATGAGCTTTGCTTTCCATTTCAATGGGGAAGGAGGTAATGGCAGCCAGGAAGTGCACTCTGAGATAACTTCAGACTTCTGAAGGGTCTGTCTATGGTTACAAGAGGCAGAGGAGGAGGCCCAGAGGAGCTGTACAGTGACCAATCAGCACATCCTGTCTGGGAAGTGAGGGGAAGGGGACAGGTGTTATTATCCAACTCATGGAGAAACGGCCTTTTTTTTAGAATTCTTGCCCCTAAGAAAACAGGAGAAAGAATGAGTGATAGGCTAAGGCTAAGAATATCCCAATAGATGAGCCACTCAAACCAAGGGCAGCAGGCTGACTGAGTCCATCCTCCGCCTGGGGTCAGCTGGCGCTTCTGTGGATACAGAGCCCACGTTACAACGCTTCCTCTTCACCTAGAGCTGCAAGATGGCCAACCCAGTGCTACTGGGATTGAGGCGTTTTCCACACAGAATGAACCCTGACACAATCCCGGATACCATGAGACAAGAGTGTGGGACTACGTTGGTTATTTTCCTCATACCAGTGACCAAATACCAGACAAGAAGCAATTAAGGGAGGAAGAGGTTACAGCTTCTATACTAGACGGGGCTGAGGCCGTCTGCTCTGGACCACCTCAGGTGGTGTTGGAGTCCAGGCTGCAGGACAACTGCAGGCAGTCTTTGCTTCAGGCCGCAGGGCCTTTTCCTCTGAGAAGCTCTGCTGTCATCTTACTTAGTAATACTCAAGCTGGTCAGTAAGCTGCCTCGAAGCTGGTGTGTCCTTCCTCCCTGAAAGGTGGTGGCTTACCGGCTGGTGGGATCATTCTGGTAGCTGGTGTGAAGTGGTGTGAAGTCCTGGCAGGCGTGTGAGGCAGTGGGTCACCACGTGCCTGTAAGTGGTGAAAAGCTCAGTGTCTCCTTTTCTAGGAGGTTTAGGACCCTAACCTATGCAATGGCTCCAGCCACATTTAGAGTGTTTTGTGTTTTTTTGTTTTTGTTTTGTCTTTGTTTTTGTTTTACCAAGACAAGATTTTACTGTCTAGCCCTGGCTGTCCTGGAACTCACTTTGTAGACCAGACTGGCCTCGGACTCAGAAATCTGTCTGCCTCTGCCTCCCAAGTGCTGGGATTAAAGGCGCGCACCTCCAGGCCCCTGGCTACAGTGGGTCTCTCTACCTTGTTAACTTGATATTTAAAATCCCTCACACGGGACTGGAGCCGTGGCTCCAGGGTTTAGAGCATTTGCTGCTCTTCCAGAGGACTTAGGTTCAATTCCCAGCACCTACGTGGTGGCTCCCAATCATCTGTTTCAGGGGTTCTGACACCCTCTCCTGGTCTGGGCACCAGGCACACACTTGGTGCCTGCAAGACATGCGCACATATTAATAAATAAATCTTTATAAAAATTATAAATCAATGAAACCCCTCACAGATGTGCTGAAGTATGCATTTCCATGGTGATTCTAAATTCCATCAAAGAGCTGGAGAGATACAAGTACTAGTCTTGAAGAGGACTCAGTCAGGGTGACTCCCATGTCAGGGTGACCTGCAACTACCTGTAAGTCCAACTCCAGGGATCCATTGTCCCCGTCAGAACTCAACAAACACCTGCACTCTCTATGCCTTCCCATACATAAACCCACATGCATATAATTTTAAATAAAATCGTATTTTTTTAAAAAAAAGGAACCAGCGTGGTGTGGACTGACATCTTTGATCCCAGCATTCAGGAGACAGAGACAGAGGAGATCTCTGTGAGTTGCAGGCCAATAGGGTCTACATATCTAGTTTTAAGCAAGTCAGAGTTGCATAGTGAGACCCTGTTGCAAAAATAAGAATAAAAAAAAAGAAACTTTTGTAAAAGATTTTTTTTTATTTTATATATATGAGTACACTGTAGCTGTCTTCAGATACACTGGAAGAGGGCATCTGATCCCATCTCCAGCCCCAAAAGAAATGTTTTAAAAGATAGGATGAGTGAAGATGGAGTCTGGTTCAGATTGTTCACCTGTTCAGTGTTTTCTCCTGCTTGCTGCATACAGCCAGAGAGAACCGTACTCCTCTATGGCTCATGTGGTCACGTTTCTCCTTCTGCTCCAGGACCTCACCATGCCCACCTCCCTCCCCGAATTGGATCTAGAGAATTTTGAGTATGATGATTCCGCTGAGGCCTGTTATTTGGGTGACATTGTGGCCTTTGGGACCGTCTTCCTATCCGTCTTCTACTCCCTCGTCTTCACGTTCGGTCTGGTGGGAAATCTGTTGGTGGTCCTTGCCCTCACCAACAGCCGGAAGCCCAAGAGCATCACCGACATCTACCTCCTGAACCTGGCCTTGAGCGACCTGCTCTTTGTGGCCACCTTGCCCTTCTGGACTCACTACCTCATCAGCCATGAGGGCCTCCACAACGCCATGTGCAAGCTCATGACTGCCTTCTTCTTCATTGGCTTCTTTGGGGGCATATTCTTCATCACTGTCATCAGCATTGACCGGTACCTCGCCATCGTCCTGGCCGCCAACTCCATGAACAACCGGACAGTGCAGCACGGTGTCACCATCAGTCTGGGGGTCTGGGCGGCTGCCATCTTAGTGGCATCACCCCAGTTCATGTTTACAAAGAGAAAGGACAATGAATGTCTGGGTGACTACCCCGAGGTCCTGCAGGAAATCTGGCCTGTGCTCCGCAACTCGGAAGTCAACATCCTGGGCTTCGCCCTGCCCCTGCTTATCATGAGCTTTTGCTACTTCCGCATCATCCGGACGCTGTTTTCCTGCAAGAATCGCAAGAAGGCCAGAGCTGTCAGGCTCATCCTCCTGGTGGTTGTTGCCTTCTTTCTCTTCTGGACACCGTACAACATCATGATTTTCCTGGAGACTCTCAAATTCTACAACTTCTTCCCTAGTTGTGACATGAGGAGGGACCTGAGGATGGCCCTCAGTGTGACGGAGACAGTGGCGTTCAGCCACTGTTGCCTCAACCCCTTTATCTACGCCTTTGCTGGGGA